CTCCAAGGCAGAGGAATATGGGAACATTTTTTCTAGAATGATTTCAGAATTTATAAGACCAATGTCTATGTTCCTCTCATTCTTCTCTTTTTCAAATATGTGGGTTGACTGTGGTTATCTTGTTCCTGTCCCAACATTACATCATTGTATGTTGGGACAGGGGCAGAAAATTTGTCCTTCTAGCACACAAGTCTCCAAATAAGGATAATTCAAATGTGAACTTGATGTGGATCACAAGATCCTAGATATTGAGCCTGATGCTGCAATCGGATGAGATTTGGGCACTCTTGGGGTGTTGGTTAGATTAACTTGCAGGTGGAAGGAACATGAATAATTGTGACTAACAGGTGGGCTGTAATAGTTTTGGTTATTGTTTACCAAATACTCTTCTCTTCCTACTATGAGCAGAATTGACTCCCCTGTCCCATGAATACGGGGCCTGATCATGTTGCCTTGATTTGGCCAGTGGGATATTAGCAAAATTAATGAAAGTAGTAGTTTTGTTGTTTTATTTTTTGAGACAGGGTCTCATTGTATTGCCTGGGCTGGAGTGCAGTGGTGTCCTCATAGCTCACTGAAGCCTTGAACGCCTGGGCTGAAACGATCCTCCTACCTCAGCCTCCCGAGTAGCTAGGACTACAGGTGCATGCCACGACGTCCAGCTAATTTTTCTTTTTCTTTTTTTTTTGTAGAGATGGAGCCTCGCTATGTTGCTCAGGCTGGTCTTGAGCTCCTGGCCTCAAGTGATCCTCCCACCTCGGCTTTCCAAAGTGCTGGGATTACAGGTGTAACCCACTGTGCCTGGCTGCAAGCAGTAGTTTTGAATGTGTTTGTTCACTTGGGCTTGTCTGTAAAGGGCCTCTGCCTTTACTCATGAGAAAAGCTTGGCTTGGGGAGTTGCTCCTCACAGGAGGGTGAGGAACGTATGGAGCAGACTGGATCCAATCTGCATTGTGAAGCCAAGCTACGCTGAAGTCAGGCAAATCCCAGCGGATCCACGGATGCACGATCACACAAACAATGCTTACTATTTTGAGGGTGGCTTGTTATGCAGCATAAGTATGGCAATAGGTAACTTATACAGCGACCAATCCATGGGTATAAGAAAAATCTGGCAGTGGCACCAATGGATTCAGTACCAGTAGCATCTTCCTGGTTTCTGAATCGCAGCTCTAATGCTGTGATCTTTGAAGCGTATTCCACTGGGAACCTCCTCACTGTGGCTTTTCCTACCTTTCCAGTGATTTTGTAAGGTACAAATTATCTATATTCTACCCTTTCAAATACCTAGAGGGGTTCTATTTTCTACACTGAACTCATCAAAAATCAAAATTTTTCTTTGACCTGGTCTCTGACTGACCCTTCATCATTCTCCGCCTCATTTTCTATATTATAGCCACATTTCTATTTCTAGTCCTCCAATATGTAACACCTGTTCCTGCATTAGGGATCTTGACTTGCTGTTCTCACTGCCCCGAAATAACCTTCCACTGGATCTTGGCACAGCTGGCCTACCCATCTGAAACAGACCATTTGTCACTTACTATTTCATCATATTGTTTTTTTTAATATTTTATATGGTAAAAATACAGCAAAATAGTTTTTTGTTCAAAGAGGAAAATATATACTGCTATGGTCACGGTTCCAAGGATGATTTAAGTAGTCTCTGGCTCCTCGACTGTGCTGTAGGTTGACTTCAACCACAGCTTCTCCAGCTTCAGTCATTTATCAAAGCTAAAATCATACTATAAAGATACATGAAGAAACAGAGCAGGTGGAAACCAAGCTTGATCATGTGTGACTTCAGCTGCCCTCTGTTGTGTATTTCTGTTGGATCAAACACTCCCATGTTACCACTTGGCACCATAATGTATTGATATATATTCCAAGTGGCAACAGGTAAATTGAGAAGGAAGATGAACCAGTGCAATGAAATGAGCATTAATATAGTGACAATGGTATGGCCAATCAATTCTGGAATTACTCACTTGTTTAATTTTGAGCAACATGATCTGGCATTAATGTAATCACACTCTAAATCAGACAATGTAATTATGAAGTAGAC